ATATTTGACGCGCCAATAGATAGTAGATGCGAAGACTTCCAGTTCAGGCTTACTCTCTTCAAGAGAGAGAGCATGAACTTATGTCGTTTCCCCTCAGATGAAATATCGATTACCCTTCCACTTACTATTAAATAATATGAAGTTATTTTGTTGAGTGGAAGATATAACCAAAAGATATAAATAAAACTAACAATAACTGATAATATCGAAGTTAGAAGAACTGAGAGCTAAAAACTGATTATTGTCATATTTTCTGCTGCAGTAATCTTTTATAGTAAATGAACAATAACCGTTAATGAAACTAAAATATGAATATTGTAATAGTATATAATATGATTTTCTTAAACGAAAGAAAATTTGATTTGATAATAATTGTTTCTAAAGTATAAATCTGGGAAAAGTGAATTTTACCAATGAAATATTATAGGGAAATATTAGAGGAAATATTATTTGTGACAGTGAAGAATGTATTATCAAATTTTTACAGAAAAGTTTAAAAAAATAAGCTAAAAAATAACAAAATAAAATTCCCTTCAAATGAAATTAAAGATTAAAATTGACCTTTCTATCAGATTATCAACCGATGATAAAAACTGCAGATCATATAAATTTGGCAGTCTATTATAATCGATGTTGTGCAGTTTCATATCTTGAGGAAATAATTTATTTGAACTTTGATAACCTGAATAGGATGCACTTTGTTTTAAATTATGTGAAGCGAAGTTCGATTTCCACTGGTTTTCGCAACTATAATGACTGAAAAAAATAATGATTTTGCACAAACCAAAAATCAAAAAATTAGGCCGAATTTACTAGAAAACTGAATTCGTTGCTTACTACCAAAGAATTATTGAGTATTTTCGATACGAAAATAGACAGTGACTTAGAACTGTAATTAGGAAATGATAAAGTATTGAAATATAACAGTTCTGATAAGATTATATCGCAGCAATATTAGAATTGGGATTAGTTGTACTGTGGCATATAGTGGTATCATTATCGATTACTTTATTGCTTTAGTGTATTGTTTATACATATCATTCTAATCTCGAATACCACTCACTATTCAACTTCTACATCTTTAGCAGAAATAAATGTATCACCAAAAAAAGTCCGAATGATGCTGACTATCCACTGCTCCTAAGACGTCACATCCTATGTCAAGAGAATCAAGCCAACATAATTAAATGTTTCACAGTTCTATTTCCAAGTGTTATCATTTCTTTCATTAAATAAATTAATAAAAGCCATTTACCCATGATTCATGCATCTCACTAATAATTTCCTGGAAATATTTAGTGGTGAATCTTCGACATCATTGACGAGCCGTTCGCACGATCCTTTTTTGATTACTTTATCTGGAGATTCTATCGCAAATATGTAAAATGTCGACAAAATTTTTGATAATTTATGAAATGCAAGGTTCGATAAATTAATTTGATACTAGTACTGAATAAATATAATAAAGCAAAATGCAAAGGTTATAACAATAAAAAAAAGGACAAATCGACAAAATCAAGATAAACAAAATATTATCAGAATCACGACAGTGAAAATGCTAGCAAACATAGTCAGCCAAATAATTAAGATCGCCATTAAACAAAATTTGATATTTTAATGATAAAAATAGGATAAAATATAGACCGTTCTTTTCATTTATCTATTCCTTTATTTATTGCTCAATAGTAACACAGCAAATAGTGACAATAATCTCATCCATTTAGTAAAATAAGTGGTTGGTGCTCAGCATTTCTGGTTAGGCCTATCCATTGGCTGTTATTACCATGGGAGACTTTGGGGAATCATTTGACGATCGAAACAGAGATAGCTCAGCAGAACTTGAAATTTTTAACGACAGCTATTCTTGAAGGATGCAGCATGCAAACCCTTTCAAGAATCTCAAAAAGAGAACAATAACCAATCTGAACAATAACCAATCAGCTAGCTATCCTACCTTCTATCTCTCCTTTTTTTATCTCAAAGTATAAGGGAGAATAATTGGAACAAACCGTTGTAATCGACAACTGATTGTGATCTGCAAACTGGCACTATATTGCCCGATTTTCGCTCATTGGCTGCCGATTCTGATCTGTATATAGGCATCATTTTATTATTATTTGTAGCTGATAGTAATAAGAAAATATGACTAATTTCCTAATTTTTGTTAATTTATTGTATTTTCTAGTATACTTTGCTTTTGTTAATTTGCATCGATGGGTGGTGCCGGATCTCGAGGTTCTCTGGTGAAAAAATCTTATCCAGTTATCAATAGAAACAGATAAACCAAAAGTGATTAACGCTATAAGGAGGAGAATTTACATAAAGTTGGCATAAAAAATGAAACAAATAAATATGAAATAAAGTTGAAATATTTGAAATACCTTGTCATTAAAATTGGTATTTTGCTTGATCGCCTCGATCTTGTTTTTGTTAAAGGCGATAAATACTGTGATTTGTGAAAATAATCGATGTCCTTAAATTCTTGTGAACCACTCAAACCATATGAATTAACATGATTCAGATAACCAGCTTGCACAATTTTGATGGTGTGATGAATAGCATTCTCATATGAAGGTTCAGATAACTTTAAAGCGACTGAATTCCATGGCCCAAATGAAAAATTATACGATGAAGGAAGAATATTGCTAGGAAAACATGTTTTTATTCTATTAACTGTACTGTTAGATTCATCGGTACTTAATTTACGATTTGATTCATTAAATAATTGTGCCACTGAAATTTTTTGCCTTGAAATTTCTGGGAGATTGAAATTGATGTTTGATTCGAGTTGAGTTTTCGACGATGTTGACAGTAAAGATTTGATAAACATTATCCATGACCGCCTGTAATTAGGCCTCGAGCCTTTGGATAAACTTGTAAACTTGATATTTTTCCAAGTGCGCTGCGGGCGCGTACGTTTTTTGGCTGATTTGACACAACCCTGTAAATTACGAATTTTAGTGATAAAATCTATTAGAAAATATCTAATTTAATTAGATAAAGCAACGATTTTCTTAAAATATAATCTCACGGAGATTTTTTTCCGCATATAGTAAAACCTCATTTACAGTTCGAATTTTCAGTTTTATTTTATTTGGTGCAGCTCAATTAGATCCGAGAAAAGCAAAATGCAATACAAACCTCCTAGTTGCGGAAGCCGTAGTAGCTATGCGATTTGATCGGCTACGAGTTTTGAGAATTGGAATGCGAGAAGCGTCGATTATTACATTTTGCTCCTGATCCTCCTCGACTAATGCTTGGATAATGATGGGCTGAAAGAAATCATATTTGCGCATTGCATATTATATATATATATATATATATATATATATACTGGCAAAATAATAAAATGCACACAATAATCAGCTAAAAATTAAAATTAACTGAGATTAAGAGAATTATTAAAACGCAATAAACAAAATTTTGTAGACAAATAAACGAGAAAAAAGTTATAAAACATATTTAAAAAATTATAATACTTGCATATCGCCATCCAAATCAATTTGTTCGAGGCTTTTCGTTCTTTTCTCCAACTTTTCCAACCCGTTAAAAGAAATAATATTTTCGCCACGAAATCGCATCACCTTCATGAAATTTATTCGAAAATTTTTAAGAGATTTTAGTGGCAAAGGCAGCAACTTGAATGTATTTCTTTTTATTAATTTTCAAATTTTCTTTTCTCATATCACTCAAACACCAATCTTTTCAATATTCATTTTGTTCAATTGAACACGTCAGAAGATGGATCGCAGTATAATTATAACGATTCACACAAAGAATTTCAAACAAAAATACTTCGTTAGGAATTGTATATTCGACTTTTTCAGGATATTCTGCATATTTCATGTTCTCACTGAGTAACTGAGATTTTAATGTTTGCCGCAATCGAGCAAGACATTTTCGTTCAAAACATCCCATCGGACGTCGCAACCCAAGCATGGAAACCTCAACAATTGTAACATTCAAACAAATACGAGAAAACATTCTAATAGTAAAGCTCATCTGTCAATAAATTGGAAATCATTGGGATCACTAGAAAAATATGATGACTGACGACTGATGAACGGAAATTTTAAATAATTTTCTCAAAAAGGTGAGGAATTTCCAAAAATAACACATTAGGGATATTTTACTTTTTCGTCAAAAAATAATAATAAACCATTATTAACTTACGATCAACTGAATTTTGGGGACGTATCATGCTTCACTGGGCAGGAGCGTTGCCTAACGAGGAAAGCAAAGGAGAACAGAAAGGCTCAGTGGGCTACTGCCCAATTCTGATACTAATACGCCAATAATGAGGTTTAAGTCAGTAGTAAACCTGTCCAAAAATCTGGCTGGCGACTCACCTGTATTTCTGTCACCTGGGACTCTCTGGCTTATTTGTCTAGTTCGACAAGCCAACGGAATGAGCCTAACCAACACGGACGATTTATTTAAAAAAAAATTAAGCAACAATAAATCTTACCGGACGGCTATTTACCGAATATAAAATCGAATTTTCACCATTAGCTACTCCATCACCCAATCCAGAATCAGTGATATTTTTGTCGATAGCTTCATGCATACTGCTTTCATTAATTCTCTTTAATTTCCAACAGTCACCATCATCATTCCAATACACTCGTTTGCATAAATTATTTCTCACATCAGAAGGTATAAAGTTCTCAACAATCAAAAGCCTAAAAAAAGTTTATTAGTGGACGATGAAATAAAATTAAGTAAATGGTTAGCGATCACTCTTTCTAATACTGGTTAACTCCACTGGCTATAGCAAAAACTGGAAATTTTTTAGCCAGAGAACCACTTAATGCGATAGAAGAGAAAGTAGGCCGTCAATTTCGTTCAAATTTTAAACGCAAGTTTAATGATATCGCCGGCAATAACAGAGCGATTGCATCTCAATAGACAATCTAAAACCTTATCCATTCTACAGTTCTCAGTTCCTCAAACTTCAGCCATGTACTGAAAAATTCCCAATTTTCGAAAAAAGATCATAATCACTTTAGTTTGAGTTCCTTGTTGATTTCCATGACAGAATTCTCCAGATCTTGTCTCTCTTGAGAATGAATTGCAGATGAATCGATTATTTCAGTTCTGATCTAAAAATTTTCAGTTTGAGAACTAACAATGATGAATTTTTACGATGAATCCTGCATTCATAAAATTCTCAATTAGAGGGATTCTAGCTTGATTCCTTTGAAACTCTTAAATTTTACACTATATTCAAGTAAAAATTCTTGATCAATTGAGAGAGAAAAATAAAAATGTTATATTCAAAAGTTTATACACCTGCTGCAGTTTCACTAGCATTTTCTTTAATTTCTTCGTTTTTAGCTCGACTTCTTGACGTAAATTTGAAAATGTTTCATTGATTTCTGCTGTATTATCTTCTTGTGCTTCTAATTGTTGCAAAATTTCTCGTTCTTTTCGCTAAATGAAGTTTCTTGATCATATTAATTAATTAAATCCATGGTTTTTTATTTTTGATGTTATCCAAACCTAAGCATCATTTCTTGCAGTTATCCAAGTAGTCCAGATTCTAAATTAGATTCTAAATTTAGCATTGACTGGATCTTGCACATTGGAATTTATTCGTATTTCGAACAACATTTTTGCCTTAACACTAACAAGTAAATGAATAAATTAAAATTTTATACCACAGCGGGTCCTCAAAAGATGTGAAGATTCTTACGTCTCAAAAGATAGAGGTTTCCTTAGATCAGGTAGAGGACAGAAATATTTCCACAGTAATATGAAAATATTGTCTTTTCCACTAACTTTTTGCTCAGCCAGTTGCCATCGTCGTTGATCGAGAAGTTTCTGTTGTTCTCTAGTTTGGTCAAATAAATTTCCATCCCCTGATAATAATTTACTTTCCATGGCTCGAATTTTTGCAGCAACAGCCATTTGTGCTTCTTTTTCGCGTTCGAGTTGCTGAACTCTTTCTTCCAAATCTTCTAAGATTCGCTGTTTCTCCTAAAAAAACAAGTACTTCTGAATCACTTATTTGATGCAAAAAAATGACTGAATGTTTGGCAAATTTTCCAAACTGTCTATATCAAAATCTCCTAATACCATACATAATAAAGAAGCAAAAAACTAACATCAGCGATCATGTTGGAATTTGCCAAAACTGCTTGCTTTTCTATTTCAAGACGCATTTGTTGTTCTTTTAAATAGTCTTCGACAGATTCTGATCCTAAAATCTATAATCAATACTTTTTATATTTTTTGAAAAGTTTGATGGTATATTACTAAATTTATTTGTTAAATTATTTTTAATCAAGTTTCTAGGAATGATCAAAAAACGATTGCTTAATCTTTTTCAGTTGCTCAATCTATAAGCTTGGATACTTTAAACTTTTTCTTTACTGGTTAGGCTGGCTCCACTGACTACAAGGGTTTCCAAGCTGCGCGATGCCATCGACAAGAATAGAAGCCATTCCTTTTTCCATCGTCTAAGTCCATATATTGCTAGTCACTTAAACGTTCAAAATCTTTCTTAACTGTACCAGTCCAGATTTTGATAGGTCCACCTCGCTTTTGGCATCATTTATTACAGGATTTAAAGTAACCAAATATGAGTCAACTCTTGAGGTAGATGACGAAGAATATGCCCCAATCAACAAAGACGACGCTCTGTGGTGGTACTTACTATTAATGCAAATGGTATTTGAACGAAGGTGGATGCAATCATATGAGATTTTATCCACTCGATGAACCCATGAAATGTACTTTAGACATGAGTGGTCAAAGGCTGATAGCTTCTTAATATCCTCCACTCTCATTAGCCAGGTCTCGTAGCAAGATCAAGCGAACTGCGACTATGTAGACTCGTTTTTATGCTAATTTCGAGACGGCCCCATAAAAATTTCGTTAACCGGAAGAATGCATTTCTAATTGCCATAATCAGGATTGTAATATCTTTTGCATTAGAGTGGATCCAAGAATTTAAAATCAAGCAGTTCCTCAACGGGCAATCAATTTATAAAAAGAGGCATTCTATCAGTTTCTTCTATATAAGACGAAAAGACTTATTTTAATAATATATAATAAAAATATAATTAAAATGTAATAAATAAATATATATAACAAATAATATACATTTAATAATATAATAAATATATGATAAAAAATAGTAAACATATAACCAGTCATACTATCTGCACTGAGATTGCTTTCATTATCAATATTTGCAGTTCGGTCTTTTTTTCTTTTTTTGGAAGCTGATGCCATTCTTTTCTCAAGAATATCTCGTAGCCGAGCTATTTCTTCCTAAAAATGAATTTGAACTATGTCCAAATTAAAAAGATTCCAAATTAATTCGACAATTATTGTTTTTATCAGATAACCTGAAATTCTCGCAACAATGCATCTTTTGGATCTTCGTTTATTTTTGGCCGATTCTTTATATTTTTGGCTCGATTCGCATATCTCAATGTTGACAGTGTTTCTTCATAATTATATGATGCCGGTCCCATATTTGCAACCATCACAGTTCGAGAATTCCCACCAAGTGAATCTAAATCTCAAATGCTTCATTTCAATTATTATACAGAATACAGAATTATTACTTTTCTTGTAATAATCCAATCCAGAATCTCTTTAGCGACATCAAGAAAAATTTTATATTTGCGTAAATGGCTTCTTGATTATTTCAACCATTTTATTCATTATTTTAATCATTCTTAAGAGAAATTCACGGTCAGAAGTGGTTAGAAAAAAACTTAAGATTAAACGCACCTTGTAATAAACGTGTCAGTTTGGAATCTCTATATGGTACATGTGTGCTTTTTCCATCAACCAAAGCAGATATAACGTTGCCTAAGGCAGATAGAGATAAATTTATTTTGGTTGCTTCTTTAAAACGTTCACCAAGTGCTCCACTTTTCGATTGCCTTTCACTGCCAGCAAGATCTACTAAATTCAAACGGCCAACTCTGAAAAGAATAATTTGGCATTATCTTTCTCAAAAAAAGAAAGAATTCATTCAAGCATCAAATTTTTATGTTATCTGTGAATTAACCTGATATGATTTTGTCCATCCAAACCTTTTTCACTACATTCCACTGTAATAATGAAAATTGCATGTGATCGACTGCTATGCTCATTCATATTTGTGCGCCTGAAAAATTTATGAAAAAATTCCACAGATTTTTAAAGACTAAATTCTTATCACCAGTTTTTGATACCTTGTTTATCTTTATCAAAAATATCAATAAATTTATATGCACAATGTTCCTCCATAAGTTTTTCTGCTGTAATAATTTCAAAACTAATAAATCATATTCTCTTATATTTTTCTTTTCTCTAGACAGTAATAAATCTACCAAAAAAAAAGAAAAATCTGGATGGCACTATAGTCCCCTCGATGCTTCTATCCACAAGGAACTCTCTGATGCAGGATTCTCATCTTCTTAGCAAATTCGACCAGTCTAATCATAAACATAAAGTTTTTGAAAAAGTAAGAGAAAATTAATAATAATATTAATAATCTTCTCCAGTAATACCTTTCTTGAACTAATAAAAAGAAAAAAAGCGATTTAAAAATTTGTCATTGTAATCGGTTAACGCATAAGTTATTTTTAATAAAAATTAATTGCTATTTAATTGATTTTTTCCCTAATTATTTGCTCGCTTTAAGTAATAATTTATTATATTTTTTATTTTAGTTATATTTTAGTTTACATTTTAGTTGTTCACTTTATAGACAATGAAGCATTTATACAAAATGAAAAAGATGAACTGAATAAAATGCGATCAGTGAGTGGTGTTTTTAATATGTTCATTTGGTACTTGTACGAAAAACTTTATACTTTTTGTTTGTCAGGGTAACTTCTAAAAATCGAAATAAAAAGAACAAAACAAGAGCAGATGCATCTTAACCATTTGCTTAACTCCACTTACCCGACAGTTCGATTTACATGACCGACAGACATTACATGTTGGATTTCTTCGACGGATTTAGTCACGAATGAAGAAAGGTCCTTTACATAAACACCAACATCAGGTCGTTCTTTAAGCTCGAGGTTTCTTTTTGGATTTTTACTAAGTAAATCTCTTATTTCTTCCTAAATAATATATATAAATTATATTTTAGTTCTAATCATAAATAAGTTTAGATCCAAATGAAAGATATTGCTTTACGGGCAAATTGATTAAGTTTTTCACATAGTTTGCCATTTTCATTAATCAATATTTCAAAAACTCCTCGGCCTTATGGATTTTATGAATTGCGAGACACTAGAATTGCTAAGCAGTTGGTTGATTGAATTTTTTTTATGTATAGACTTTATTTTTCATAGAAAAATAAAAATTTATCAGCCGCAAATCAAAGTTACTTGATATATTTCCAAATAACTCGCTCGAACTAAATATTGTTGATTATGCGATTGAGCGATATGTTGAAAGATGTGGCGAAAAGAATTCGGAATGACACCACGCAAATCGGCATTGTTTGGATCACCTAAATAAAACCCTCAAGAAAAAATGAATTTAAAAGAAAATTGGATTTTGAAGATTTTTTTGTGATGTTTATGGCCATTAAACCATAGCATATGATAATGAGGGAATTTTAACGAGCGAAAAGCAAGAATGATAGCATAGCAAGATTCAGTTCTAAAATATTTCAAGTTTCAAACTTGAAAATCCTATTGTTTAAACGATATTTTATTAAAAATGAACAATACTATCTTACAAATTTCATTTTGTTCGAATTTTGTTCATTTTGAAATCTCATTTTTTTAAATTAATTTTTGATTTGGCTCGAATTCAATTTAATTCAATTTAAGTATTAGTTGGAAACAAGAAAAAAAGGAAAAAAGATCTTTCCGTTGATAAATTGATACTACAATCAAAAAATTAACATGACAGTTAGCTGATCGGGAAGGATCAAAGGAAAAGTTTAGATTTAATACTTTTAAATAATGTTTTCTATTGCTCTCATATATTATAGATTTATTTTCCCATATTGTGAATAATTTTGCTGTAGTTGAAAATTTTTTTGATACTTCATTTTTCCATCCCAGATTTCAGGATGTGAGACTGGTAATAATAAATTATAGATAAGTGGAAACTTCAGCGATAAAAAAATGCAACAAACCTTGGTTGACCTTGGTTGATGTTTGATGAGAAAATAGAGAAAATAGGGATAGAAAAGAGAGAATATGGAAATAAGAGACGGTAACTGTAAGAGTTAAACGACGGAAAAGAATGCAAAAATTAAACATTGGAAGAAGGGGGAAAATAGGAAAAAAGAAAAGCAGAAAAAGTTCATATAAAATCCATGGAAGTATTATAATTTTTTAGGACGATAAATGAAAGAAATGCATGAACTTCGCTGAAAGAAAATCGAGAAATATTGTTAGCATTAACTATCATTTCTTCTTCTTCTTAAGAGTCCTCGCCATTACTGGTTACACTCGCTCCACTGACTTGTCGCATTGGGCAATATGCCAGGAAGTCCCTTGGCGATAGAAACACAGCTAAATCGCCAGCATCACTCGGATTTTTGTACAGGTTCATTCCTGCGGGGAATCGAACCTCAGCATCGCCTGCTCCAAATTGGGCAATAAGCCATCCTATCGTTAGCTTATCAACTATCATTAACTACATTAACTATCATTAGCTTATTATCAGTCAATATTGTTAGTTATTGTTAGTTATTTTTCTTTCTTCTCACGGTAGCATTTATACTTATATATACAATATTTATCCTTACTGGTTCAAGTTGACATCATTGACCAGTTGGAAGAAATCTTTTCGCCAACGAGACTGTCATTCGTTTTTCATATCTTTAATAGTGATGTCTTACTAAAAAGCTGGAAGCGAACCTATTATGCTTGAAACTCAGTCAAAGTAGTATGCTGCTCGATCATCCTATCCACATCACTCAAAATTATTAAAAGATTATTTCAATAATTTTAAATTTTAATTTTATATGTAGTGCGCAAATTAGAATATGGCAAATTTGTTAAGAAACCTTCCATAGTATAAGTTTTGCCAGTTCCTGTTTGTCCATATGCAAAGATGGTTCCGTTAAAACCATTCAATACTGAATCTACGAGATCACGAAACGTTTCTTCATAAAGCTCGATTTGTTTAGAACTGCAAATAAAAGAAACTATATCTTCACATTTGAATTATTTTATTACATAAAAAAAATTTTTTTTTTTGATTCTTCAATATATCTAAATCGCCTCTGAAAAGAAAGCTGAATTCCTCAATCCCGAAAAACTACTAGCTAATTTTCTTTTTTTTCAAGGGTCCTCATCATTACTGGTTAAACTATCTCTGCTGGCTTTTCGCACTAGACAAATATGCCAGGAAGTCCTTTGATAATAAAGGTATTTTGCCAGCATCATCCAAATTTTTAGACAGATTTTTTCTTATGAGGAATAAGAAGACCTCAGCAATTTTCATCATTTAAATGAATCATTCCAATTTTATCGAATTAATAGATACCCAGCTACTTCTGTTAGTCACTTATTAGAAATTTCTTTTTTTAAAATACGCTGTTCTGATAAGGCTTGCTCCGTTGACTTTGATCAAGCAAATTTTTGCCACGAAGCTGGCGTAAGTTGTTAATATCATCAATTTTTGAAGGACTAATCCTGCCGGAAATAGAGCGCTTCGAAAAGCTCTTTGAGAGCATCTGCTGAGCTATTCCACTCTTCTATTTAGAAATTAACATATTTATAAGTTCACGTTAAAGTATATCAAAAATGCCTTATGTCATAAATGGTGTCGAAAGTAAATGACTTTGGTGGTTCGCTTAGATTTTTTGGATTTTTAAGGTCGACAACACCTCGATTAACGTGCATATCAACAATCCTGTAATAATAATGATAAAATCAAACAATATCGCTGTTTTGTTCTATCGTAATTTTGATAATTTCTTCGAATTGTCGAGAAGTTTCTTTCGATCGAATGCAAAAACTTGAGAAGTAAATTCATATCGGCAAGCAAATTTCGGTGCTTCACTGACAAGTTCGTGCAATTTATTCAATTTGAAAAATTAGATTTAAAAAAATGGCAGTAATGGGACTAAATGAACTAAGTTTAATTTTATGGATAGATTTAAATTGTGGTGATTTTTTTTGCAGAAGAGCACATATTGAGAAGAAATAACTAACGATTGATATCCATCAGATATCTCTGAAGCCGACAATGGCCGACAACGAACAACAACCTTAACTGTTTCTGGTTTACTTGTCTCAACCCTTGGACGCAATAATGTTGAGACCATCGTGAACGATCTGTCAATAAAAAAACAATTGAAATAATAAGTGGCGAAAAAATTTTTTGAAAATAAATATTTTTTTAACTAATTTGGCTTGTGAATGCGAGTGAATGAATGAATAAATTGGCTCGTTTTTACAGTAGATAAATGTTTGTTTCAAAATTAAAATTATTTTATAATTGATTCGCAGTTACCAACCTAAGGAAAGAAAGATGACGCAATATTTTGCTTCATTTAAGGTAATTCATAGTTGCGATTTTTATCCGCTGAAAGAAAAACTTAGCATTAAAACTGGTGTTAAGAACCTCTTTGTCGACCCAACTCCCAATAGCTCTCTGATGAAACGCTCTTATCCTACCAGGAACCAACCAAATTATTAGATTTAGTAAAAAAATATAAAAAATATAAAAAATCATAAAATATATAAAAATATAAATATAAAATATAAAAATATATAAATATAAATATAAAAAATATAAAATATAAAATATAAAGCAAATATGAAAAATAAATATAAAAAATCATTCTAGACTAAATTTCTATTAAAAACCGAAAAATAATCGAATAATCCAAACGTGAAAACTAACTAATAATAATTAATAAAATAAAGCAAATATCACGACAAGTTGAGAAAAAAAGCATTGATTACTTTTTATATCAGTGGCTCCCAACCCAATTTGCTTGGCTCTGTGGCCTTCTAATTCTTCTAATTTTATTGATGAAGAAATAAAGATTGGATTGGGGACTTAAAAACGATAGAAAATATAGGATAAAAAGTTCTTTCAAAACCTGATGAGACGGCAACGAAAGCGATCTCGACAAGACCTCTTCATCCGAAGCAACACTGTTCAACGTCGTCACGTTGTACGAGCCCAGTGAAGCAGATAAAACTTATTATTATCAAAACAAAAAAGGCCGAAAAACAAAAAATTGAATTATGGGAAAAAATTGTACTTTTTTCAAATGAATATTTCACCAAATATTTCTGAAGAAATTCCAGCAAAAAATGTATTATTTGTTCTAAAAATAAAATTAATTTTGAAATTTTGAGATACAAAAGTTTTTAATGATATTGTAGCTAATAAGAAATCAGTAAATTTTGGTAAATTCGACTGGAAGCTCGTTAAATATAAAACGTTTCTCATAATTCTTTTTTCATAGACTCCTCAACTTTATTCATTTTTGTTATGGGATTTTTGATAAAAACTTTGATTTTAAATGATACCTAGAGCTTTTCAAGACAGGAAATAGGTTTTTACATTTTTCTTAACAACCAGCATGTCTCATAGCCTACGCAGCCCCTTACTTTCCCTTTTCTAGATTTTTTGGCTTCCTATAGCTTCCATATGCAACCACTTTAAATAATAATTACTAATTATATTAAGAAGTACTAAAACAACAATAGATATTAAGTGGTTTTTGCGAAGCATCCAAGTACTTTAAAAAATAGCTAAAAACGTATCTAAGAAATAAATATCACCATAGAAACTTATCGAAATTTTTGATTATGAAAGAGCTATATCGTATTGATTCGCTATTTCTGAGTATTCCGATATATATAATTTTATCATTTCGAAGGGAAAATTAGTGCTAATTAAGACAAATTGACAAAAATCACCATTTTTTGCCAAAAATATCACTTTTCAAAGTGAAGACATCTTCGCAATTTGCAACTGGAATAGTTGCCACAGTGCACAGAAACTTTCGATAATTTTGCAGATTTATTGTTTTATTTAATAAATAATTTACATTAGATAATTAATTAATAAATACAATGTTAATTCATTTAGACGTATATTTAATGTCTTTCAAATGATTTCCTTTTTTCCTGAAAATTAAAATAATTAACAAACAAAAAAATCGTTTCGCGGATTTCATATGGAAGAGAATCACTTAAAAACGAACGAATAATAAATTAGAATTAGAAAGAGAAAAATTAAATTTTTTAATTTAATTTTTAATTTTATGTTAAAATTTTATTTTAAAATGAGTAAAAATGAATAAATCATTTAAGTAGTTTAATAATTAATAAAAAGAACAAATAAATTTATTGAAATTATTTTTTTGAAACTGAAATAAAACCAGAAAATTTTTCAATAAAATCTTTGATAATTTGCCAAAAATGGAAATTAAAAGCAATTTCATTTTCAATAAGCGATAGTAGAAAGGAAATTTCACGCCATTCTCCATCAGGAAATTTCGTACGGACGAGATGAACGACTGCCAACACATAGAATGCGTATTTAAGTACCCACAATTTCTGGTTAAACTCCGCTGGCTGTTGGTGCGATTAGCGCACCGTCATAAAATCCAGAACGAATGTATATAAGGAAAATTAAAAATTTCATCAAAAATTTCAAAAAGTGCATGGAAAAAATTAATAAAAATAAAAAAAATTATCCGCTTACTTTTCTCCTTCTTCGCCCTCAATAGGATAATTGTCAACAAGAATCGAGGCTTCAAGTCCGCCGATTTTTTGCCTGGCGGCACAGTCGCTTAACGACAAAAAAAACAAAGGAGAATAAAATGGCTCAGTAGCTTGTTGTTCCATTCGTGGTGCCGAGGTGAGGCTCGATTTTCTACAGGAGTAAGGCTGTTCGAAAACCCGAATGATGCTGGCAATTTATCTGTACTTCTATCGCCAAGGGACTGCCTTGCATACTTGTCTAGTAAAAGCCAGAGGATTGAGTCTAACCAGTAATAGTGAGTATTTTGTTTTTAACATTAAGAAATTAAGAAATTAATGATTAAAATCTTTTTCTGCTTTCATCATTTTTGGTTAGGCTGGTTCCACTGGCTACATGGGTAAGATGTTCCAAACTGCTTGATGCCATCGTCTAAGTCCATATATTGCTGGTTCACCTATATGTTCAAAAATTTTTCCTGACCGTATCAGTCCAGGTCTTCATTGCATCGCCTCGCTTTTAACGCCACCCATCATAGTGTTTAGCAAGTAACGAAATTCGTATCAGCTTCTGTAGGAGCGAGCAAGAACGTGTCCTGCCAGTGAAGGCCGCGCTCCATAGTGGCACTGTTAATGCAAGTGGTACTTAAACGAAGGTGCGATCATTCGTCTGTTTGGCGAATTCGTAACATATCTCATGTCAAAGATAAGATAATTTCTTAACATTTTCCACTTTCATTGCCCATACGTTGCAGCCATATAGGAAGATCGAGCAAATTTTTGTTATGTAAACGGATTTTCGCTTTATGGTAATTTACGACGGCTTCATAAAGGTTTCGTCAACCGGAAAAATGCATTTCTCGCTGTCGTTATTCAGGTTACAATTTCAGCCTTTGGCTGGCCATTTGGAATTAGAGTGATTGGAACCCAAGATATTTAAAATCGGGCACTTCCTCTACAGGTAATGAGTTTATAAAAGGAGGCATTTTATCAGCTTCTTGTGTGTAAAACGAAAAAGCTTTCGTTCTGAGACCGATTCTTGCTGCAATTATTTTCACGTTGTTTAACATTATTTGCATTTCGTTATAACTCGGCAAAAAGGACTACTTCATCAGCATATTTCAAGATCTGTGATACGATGTTCTGGACTTATTTGTATACCTCTTGAGTGTGGACAAGCGGTATGCATTATCCAATTTATCACATATTGAATACTGCATATTGTAGAGGAGAGGGTTGAACAAAGCTTTGATATTTTATTTCGTACAATTCCCCATATACACATACCTATGACGATGTATACTGATAAAATACCTTTATGAGGCAAATGATCTTCTCTGGAACCCCGTCGCTCTCCAAAGCGTTCATTTTATCATTAAATCGAAGGCAGCCGCAAAGGCGATGAAACAGGTGAAGGTAGGTTGCAGAAACGATGTTCCAATACCTTTCTTAACGTGAATATCTGGTCAGGAACCAGGTCTCCGCTTGAATCCAGTTTAATTAGGGCGAATCCTACTGTCCCGCACTGTCATAAGTCTATTGAGTAAAAGCAAAGAAGCAAAAATTTTCACTGAGACTTCTAATAGGCTGATTACTCGATCATTATAAGAGTATGTCCTGTTACCTCTCTTGAGAATTGTGACCAGAATTGTTTACTCCAATCATCTGGTAATATTTCTTCCATACCAGGAAGCACGTTTGTTGAAAGTGCATTTATAAAGGAATTGAAGAGTTCAGCCCAAAAGCTATCTTCTCTCTTATTGGCCTTTATCTTATGGATAACGGAGATTACTTTTTCTACAAAGATGCGAAATCATTTGAAACATAAAAATTTTGAAATATTGTTAAATTGAAATTGAATGTACGCAATTTGCTAAATACTATTCTCGTAAGTCAATTCATATATTCAATTTCTTTGTTCAATTTTTAATACTAATATTAACAAAATTCCAGAAAATCATACCAATTAAATATTTAGAATGACAAATGAATATTCTAAATAACAAATGGATTTTCTGGATAATAAACGAATATTTTGGGTAATAAGTGGATAGAATTTCGATAAAACAATTTTGTATTAAAGAATGGAAAAATTTTAAGGAAATAGATATGAAAATTATGAAAAATAACCAGGAAAAATTTGATGAAGAAAAATTTTTAAAATTCAAAATTTATTTTAGAATTCAAAAGAAAAGGAATATATTAAAAATATAAAAATATAACAGAAAATTTTTAGAAATCGTGCTTAGTCGCATAAAGACGGAAAAGCAAAATCGATAGCTCGTCAGCTGGTGGTTCCGAATGCTATAATGCTTTAGTCGAACTGAGTTACACCACAATCTGAAAAGACCTTTTACACGAAAATTCAAGCTATTCAACTATTATGCATTAATGGAAATGCTTAATATTTCGTGATTAGTTGGCTGAACACTGCAAAAATTTTAATGATTTTGCTCGTTCAACCTGCGAAATTTCTGCCTTTTTGCTTCCCTTTTATCACCAATTTAAAATAATATAAGATGAAAATCACAATATGGATTTGGACTGATGTTATGAGGACAACTTTTTTATTTATTTATTATTATAGAATAATCCTTTGATGAAGGAACTTAATTCATCGAAAATAATGTTATTGAAGGTGCATTATGAAAGACGATGGACAACATTTGAAGAGTTCAACCCAAAAACTAGGGGAAAACGAATTACGAAGGAGTGATTATATTTTTTATTCTATTATATTATGTGGAGAAAGAATAGCCAATTGGTGCTTATAGAGGTGGTTGGTTAAGCATGAAGATTGGAGCTTTGCCACCTGGAAGGCTGTCAGCTGAAAGTCAGTTTGTCGTTCGTAGACTTTCAACTATATTTTCAGCGTTCTAGCAAAATTTCTAACTACTAACAACCAGATGAGTTAGCCTAATCAGAAATGGCTTACATTTTTTATATTTATTTAAGTGTATTGTTGTGCTAAAAGCATCAAATTATATTTTATTCAAATTATATTGTAATAATTAATATTAAATTAATTATAATCAAATTATTGCACAAATTTTATTAGAAATTTAAAATTTTAAATTTTTTATATCATAAAATTTCAGATTACTATTATCAAATCATTTTGTGCACAAAAAGTACAAAATTTTACTAAAAAATGTTAATAATTTTCTTATCTTTCTTCATATAACTTAAAATTTCTATTTCAAGTGAAACAATTTTTTGATTTAAAGGAAAATTTAATTTAATAGGAAACATTTACTCATGTAGCCAGTGGAGAAACTTGGAAACACTTTACTCTTGTAGCCAGACTTACAATAATGGTAAAAAGAAAATTTCATAAGTTCATAGTTCATTCTTTATTTTATGATGTCTAATCGATTAGCGGAAAAATAATGGATAACATATAAACAGAACAAACGAATAATGAAATGG